TGAATTTACCGTAAGAGTTATTAACGATATCACGACAAATGTTATATTATATCCTTTCTTTCATTTCTTATGGAATATTTAAAGACACAAAAGAAAAAATGTATGACAAAATCAATGACAACAAATATGCCATAGGTATTCGAGATCCACGCTTGAAAATGCCTATTCATCTCCTACACCTTTTCATTAAACTTTCCACTATTATCTTCAATAATTAAACTGATAAAAAAAAGATTCTGAAGAATATCGTCACTGAAATGTTAAAATAAATGAGACACCTGGCAAACATCTGTTCCATACATGTGACTTTTTTCTTTTTTTTTTGGAATGAAAACATAACGAGTAATTTCAAAAAATTTTTGAAATTCGAAAAAACGGGAAATGGAAAAAATAGTGCTTTAAACATAAATTTGAATACAAGAATATCTAAAATAGGTTTTTTTTTCTCTATCAAAGAAGCAAAAAAATCCAAGTATGAGTCATTAACAAGTTCCAGTAAGTTAAAAAAAAAGGGTGAAAGGTCAAATAATAAAATAAATTGTGTACCATTCCATGAAACGGAAATATTTTGAATAATGCAGATAGATTTTTTATCCAATGCAATATTTAATTTATTGATAGCTGGAAAAAAATATTATGGAGAATTTGCTTGAATTGAAATAATAGGTCAAGCAGGTGAAATAAAGAAACAGTAATTTTACGAAATTCAATTCATCTTAAAAGTTATTCATTTATTTCAATTATCATTTGATATCATTTGTGGAAAGTCTCATTTATATTAAGCAAGAATTAATTACCAAATGTTAAGATTAGTACTAAATGATATCTAAACTAGCAAATAGTTGTAAAAGAAAGATTTGACTGCTTAAATTAACCATTTGCGATGAAAGTGTTTCAAAATATTCATGCGAACATTGATAAGAAGAAATAATATTTACAAATTTATGAAATATTTCGCTCCAATTTTTTTTTTCGTTGCTAGAATTTGAAGGGAATTTCGTGCGAACCCAAATTTATACGTAAATTTTAAGAATAATGCAATGAAACAAAAGACAAAAGTTTTACATATTTGTCATTAATTAAAATCATTTTTAAAACTTTTATACTTTTGACCAAAATTGTCGATATGATCAGTAAGTGTAAGTATTGATTTTATCTATTTTTTAAGTGGTATTAAAGTCAAATTGAACATGATATTGCGTCAGTTTGAGTTTTTTTTTATTTTTTTTTTGATAAAGTTAGTAAGGTTAAATATTGGATATGATCATGCACCAGTTCAAGATAATGAGTTGAAGCTATGAATTATTAAACTATTCGATTTAATCTATAAGCAGACGATGTAATTAGAAATGCATATTTCTTCTTATCTTCATAAACGATCAATGTTTTATGTATTAAATGGTAGCATTTTGCTTGATGATTTCAAATTTATAAAATGATTTCAACAATTTCAAATAGCTCAAAAATTTCATGTAGTTGCGTTTTTCTTAAATAATTATTAAATAATTGTAATTTGCATGATTCATGATACCAGATGACCATTGCATGCTAGTTCATTACTTATTTAAGTGATTTATGCTATTCAGCTTGTTTCCCATCATTTTCCATCAATTCTTAGATGCTTTTACTCGTAATTATCATCGCTTCAATTGATTTCACCTTCCATCCAATTGCACTTTTCCCAATTTCCTCAATTTATCTAATTGTCCAAAACCGTATCTCATATTGCAAATTCGAATTTGCTAATCATAAAGTCATTATGACAATTTTAAATTCAAATTTTATGAGTGCTATCAAAACAATACATCTAAATTTTTTTTTTTTGATGCTTATTTAATCAATCATATTTTTGCTATTCCACCTACAGTAGTAGCTGATTATAATTGATCGAGATGTGGTGAAGTGCTAAACTCCCCACCCTTGATCGAATATGATAAGTAGTACAGTACGAAATGAAAATCAGTTCATTCTTTTATGCATTAAGAAAAAAATTAAGATACTAATCATTGATAAGTAGTTAATCGATATTGTAATTAAATTGTACCATGATGATTGTAAACAACAATTACTTATCAGTAGATAGTAACAGAAGTCATTTCAACAATTTAACGATAACAAAGCCATTTAATGATAATTTCCAGAAGGAAATAAATGAATGAGGGAAGAAGTTGAAATTGCTTGCTAGCTCGTTCATTCGGTTACTTAAGAATTTTGCTGGTGGCGATGGTGATAATGATGGTGATAGTGATGGTCAGTTGTGTAAGTTTATGTTTAGCGGATGAATGGATCAGTCAGTCACTTCTTGTTCGTTGCCCCATACATTTTAAATGGGGTGTGTTGCTAACGTAAATGTTATTGCAAGTGTTTGAGGCCGATTGTTCAAGAGATAGATAGATGGATGGAGATGGATGGATGGATGGTAAGATGGATGGATGGATGGATGAATGAATGGATGGACGGTATAATGGAAAAGGATTTGATGTGAATGAATATTTAGGATGGGAAAGTGCTACTACAACTGTAACTGTGGCGCGTTTGTCCATTTTTTGTTATATTTTACCCCACTTTTTTTCTTACTTTTTAGTTGATCGAGAATTCTTGATACCTAGCTTTAATTCATTTAATTCTCCTGTTCATCTCCTGATCCCTTTCCTATTTCAATCCTCTTTTCAAACTTTCCCTTCCTTCTTCTTCACCATCAAACAACTGTCCTCCTTTACATATGTTCTTCTTTGTCTTTAATCAACCCCTCCCCTAATGCCCTCTGCTATATTACTAATTCTTCAACAGATTTTACAAATTCATAGATTTGTTTGTTTAACTTCTTTCCCGCTTCACTCCCACCCCTTTTCAATCCTTTCTTCCAAGCAATAATGACGGAAACGGTACTGTTGCTGCTGTTAATGCATTAATTTGACATTATGGCAAACTTCCAGCATTGATCACTTTACCTTTCAGTCTACTGCAAATATTTATTTCTGTTTAATTAATTTAAATTAGCAGTTGTGTTGATGGAAAACTTTTAAAAAAACCATTCACTTTTTTATTCTATTAATTTAATTTCAATTTAAATGAATTAACACCAAGTCATATTCATCTCTGTGATAATTGTTAATCACAAGAGATGGATGATTCCTTGGTCTTACTACTTCTCAAATTTATGATTCAACTTTTTGCGGATTAATAAGAGTTGGATAGTTTTGGAATTAATGAAAGGATGATCCTCCACACAAAATAACAAAATTCTTAATACACACTGATGAGAAGGAAAGTGATCTTTCTATTTACAGTATCCTTAAAGTAATGTAATGAATAAGAGAAGTGTCGTGGATGAAGCCATGGCTAAGTCTAATGGTTACTACAAATCTATGAAGCCTTAATTTGATGAACCAGAGCTTATTCTATTATAGAAAACTTTTTGTAATGTCTGGCAAATATAGAAAAAACGTAGTACAATATTATATCATTTATTGGATTAGATTTAAGTTCAATCTTTTTTCTAATTTCCGGATAATTAACTTCTAATTAATCGAACTACCTATTTGTTCTTCAAGTTAAAAGCCAATAAGGAAATCCTTGTACTGGAATCTTTCATTAGGCTTTTTTTTTTTCAGGATTTATCCTTTTCAAAGCTTTGATAAAGCTTTCGCATCTCTGATCTATTTTCCCGCATGGAATATTTGCATGCATCAAGTTTCGCATGCAGTTTGCATCCAATCCATTCATGTCATTTCCTTCATTTAAATGTATAATCATTCGGGAATACCATTCCGCCTTCATTTCACTACTACGATAATTATTATCTGGTAAAATATGTCGTACGCTAATTACTTTGATCACGATTTCACATGTTACAGTAATCATTGTACAGCAAAACTGTTCTACGATTTATTTACTCCCTGATATTACTGTTGTGATGAAAATTTTTAGCAAAAAGAGAAGACAAAAAGAAAGCAAAACTTTACAAGTTGTAATTCTTTCACATAATCATTTCTCAAAGTTGTCATATCAATAGAACTAGAGACAAGTACCGTACCACATTTTAATTCTTAGCAGCTAGCAATGTTTCCACTTTCGCATATCATAAATTACTTATATTCGGTATTTCGTTCGTAATTTGAATGTAATTTTCCAAGCTTTTCCTTTGCAAGAATTTAAATAATCAATTATTGCTTAAAATTTTCAAAATCTGCGTCATCATTAGCTACTAATCAAGGCTAAATTGCTGCAAAGGTATTACCGGTTAATTCTATTTAAAAATATTGATTAACCAATTTCTTTATTACAAAAAAATAAAGATTTAAATAAAACTGATTATATCAATAAAAGAAAGTAACAAAACAACTATTAAACTGCTATTAAAGTAACTGAATTGAATTTTAATAGCAACTGTTAAAGTAACTGAAAATAAATATTGTGATTAATAGTTATATTACTTTCCAATTTAATTTCAACTATCTTTTCGAATAAAAATCTCCAAATTTGCCAATATTATGAAATTACTTTGTTATCGATGAAATATTTACCCAAAAGAGATAAACTGAAAATAAATTATCTTCAAGAAAACAATATTATCAATTTGAAAATGGTTCAAGCAATGTTAAATATTTTATCCAAATAATCTGTCATGCGAATGCGCAAATAATTGCTAAACAAATATAATGAGGGTGAATAATTTCAGAAATGAAATGAAACATTCAATTGATCCAAAGTTAGTGTTACTGTTTTTACTGTTAATGAGCATTTGCTTCATTGATTCGTTAATTTTGAAGCCAAATGAAAAGCAAATAGCCATTTTACAAAAGACTGTCAAGGAATTGTTGGATTTCGAGCAGTTACCAGGCTAGTCCATTCATTCTTCCTCTCTTCAATTTTAAGTTTTCTATCAATCATCCATTTATCTCATTCTATCATCCTAATTGCTTTGATTTATCAATGAAATACTTTTAGGTGATGTCATAAGATCTAAATCACGCACCGAAAACGCTGCTTCGAAATATATGCTTCGTTTGTTCAACAGATACAAAGAAAGCAACGGTACTCAGCATTACCAGCTTGGAAATATTGTAAGAAGTATCACTCCGATAACTGGTAAAAAATTTAAATTTTAAACTTTGAAAATAAACTAGCACAATATTTCAAAAATGGCCTCCATCCGTCTTTCTCAAAAAGCATTGCATTTGTGTCATTAAAATGATCCAACTGATTTGGTAGGCTTTCGGTTAAGTTTGGGTTCCAAATCGTAGATAATCTCAATACCAATTAATAATATCCCTTTATCGCTTTCTTACAGTATCACTTTTCCCACACCTGCAAAAAGATAATAATTAGCAAGCTATCTGCTGGTAATATTTATATTTTTCAAGAAAATAATTGACGATAAAGTTTGAGAAAAAATTGTTTTATATTTCAATAGTACGATGCAATGAATTTTTATGCACTAATAAATTTCTCATGATTGAAGGAAAGACAAACAAAAAAAAATACCACTCATTAAAAACTGCTTGTAATTAGCTTTGAGAACATGATCATATTTCAGGAATATTGTTTGATGAAGAGCTGTTGATATTTAAGCTGAATACAATTAAGCCAAGTGAACAGGTATGCAACAAAATAATTTACCTTTATATCAGATGTACCAATTTATCATTGCCTATTTTTTTTAATGCATAATTTGCAGCAGCTGCTTTGAATTATTAATTAGCAACCTTGTGCAAAAATTTTTCCTTTTCTTTTTTGTTTTCGAATGCCAATTAATTTTCAGCAAATTTAATTTTTTAATATTGGAACGTAAGCATCAGTTATTTATAACTTTTTCGTTATTGAGAGGGGGGTTGATATCCTTAGTGTTAGAATATCAAGTAACAGTTAATTGTGTTACTTGTGCAATTATCAGAAGTACTAATTAATTTATCTGCAACTGCAACGTACAACGAACATAGCATAATCAATCAATACTCACTGTCTCGTTCGATATTTCTAAATGACACATAAAATTTCTGTGATTATACATCTGAGCAAGTTTGTATTCCAGATAGTTCAAGCTGAACTACATTATAATATCCAGTATAAACATCGTTTCACTTGGAAACAAATGAAAGAAATTGTAAAAGCAATTGGAATTTTCCAAAGTAATACGAAAGCGCAAATCGTACGATTACCGCCTACAGCATTGTCACGTTATTGGCTTAGCTTCGATATGACTAAATTGATTAATGAAGCATTACAAACAAATCAAACTGTTGTTACTGTGAAGGTATGTTATCTGATTATTTCCACAAACAAAAGTGTTATTGTCGGTACAACTTACCCGATTTACTCGTTACAGCGTTGAGTAATTATTTGGCCATAATTATTATAATTATCCGTTCACTGCTTGAGATATTGGTATAGCAGAATAAGACTATGAATATTCCTATCGAAACTTGTTATCTATCGGTTTACTTTAATAAAAACTTAAAACCCATTATAATGTGAATTTTGATAAAAATATAGTAAAACAACTAAAAATTTCAGTTTCTGAGAAACGGTAAAAAGATGAAATGTGCCGAATTAATCAAACGGAATACACCCTTCCTGCTTGTATATGCCGATGAACCGTTGTTAACTGATGGTGGGAAATTTCAGTTTACATTCAATGAGAAAGCAATTCCTGATTTGCATACTGGTGAAATTTATTGATATTTTAAGAAATTGTTAAAAATAATTCCTTTTCATTAACTGTCAGTAGTTTCTTATTTCTATAGTCATCGATTTAAATTTAAAATGTGAAGTATTTTGACTATCTTTTAACAAACTGTCAAATTTATGCTAAGGCTAATTTTTCATTTCGATACAAAAAAAAAAAAGAGTGCTTATTTAAGACGCTCCAAAGAATTCGCCATCCGGAATGGCTAAAAAGCGCTCAAAAAGGATGTTCCAGTATTATGCATATTCAGCGAAAGAAAAGCATGATGGTAATGATGACAATTCAGAGGAAGGAACCAAACAACATCTTAAAAAAATCCGAGATTTAGGACCACGAATACTCCGGAGTCGGAAACAAGTATTTGTTTCATTTTTTTTGATAAACGAAAAAAATTTGCAAATCAAAAATTCCTGATAATTTTGATTCACCTATTCTTTGAAAATCAATATCCGAATTACATTAGTTTTGGCTATGGCACTTACTTACCTAATAATCCTTACATACATCCGTTAGAATTTCAATTGCATGCATTTTTTAAATTTCATTTTGAGAATTCTCAATAATTAACAAGGACAAAAAAAGTAATTAGATGAAACAACGGACAATATCACCAGTTTGTTGCTATCAGTTGTCACTGCAGAAAAGTTTCCACTGCTTTTAAACGACATTTACTTTGCCGTATTAATTCACAAAATTATTTGTAACTGAACCTGCACAATGAAAGAACGAGGAATACAATTAACATTTTACAATTATTTTCAGTGGATGTTTTTTGAAAATTATTTTTGAATTTATTTTCTTATCATTTTTGCAACATTTTTTACTTTGTGTAATGTTGGCCTTTAAAATTAGAGCCGTGCAAAAGTATTAAAAATGAGAGAATAAAAATTACTATGAACAATTTTCCTTCCCGATAACATTGGAAGCTTGCTACCAAAAATCGTGACAGTCTTACAAATGAAAAAATTAGGAGGATGAAATCTGGAATGCCGAGAACGAATTATCTAAAATTAGCAATCATCTCGGTCTTAATCTTAAAATTACCTCCTTCTACTTAGCTTATTATTTTAGCTATCCATATAATGACAAATATGCAAGAGATATGTTACAAATATCCAAAATACAATGTATGATATTATCTGCGATATTACATTTCATATGAAATTTTATGTCATGATTATATTATTTGGGCTAAATTTATACAAAATATGCATATTCATCAAACATATATCTCATATAATAAAAATTTTATCTCTCTATAAGATAAAAACGGTATCTGCCTCTCACATAGGTTGGAAGATGATATTTGCCCAAGTATTAAGATATAAGCAATATTTGGCCGGATATAAAATTTAAATAGTATACTAACATTCTATATCAGGTTCAGCTATATTTGTATGTAGTTATGTGATGCATAATTAGATTTATTTACATGGATATATGATAGAGTAATTTTGGATAGTTATATATATTGACACTTTTTACTTGAGATGTAATTATCACAATAATATGAAAAAGTGCTAGCAGATTTTTGGTATATTTAAAAACAAAAATGACAAAATAATTTCTGCAGGATCGTTCAGTACAAAGGCGTAAGCAACAAAAAATTCGCAGCACTTCTCGAAATGATCCAATGATGGGCTTTGGTAGGAGGAAGAAATCAAAAGCTGTGACAGTTTCACCCTCGCCTTCCATAGAACAGAAGAAGGATGATGATTTGACTGTGATACTACTTCCAGGAGAACCATATTCTTCTCAGGTACTATTGATTGCCATGAATGTTTACATATTCTAGCAAAATTTTAAGACTTCGGCACTGAACTATTCATCATCTATGAACGATTGGTTTACCTTCTAAATTGTACTAAATTGAACTGATGATTAATGATATCCGTTTTGCAAAGTTTTGATGAGTTCCGATAATGAATTATGCCTAGTATTGCTTTCACAGAGCTGCAAAACAGAAAAACTGAATGTACGATTTCGGGATATAGGATGGGAACATTGGATTATTGCGCCAACATCATTTGAGGCACACTATTGTAGTGGCACATGTCCTTTTCCGCTCAAAAAGGTTTTTTGTTTGGTTTTTAACTTGATGAAATTTAAAAGTTTTTATATTATGCAAGTCGATATTTCGACTCCTACTCCAAGTTTTCAGTTTTCGTTGACAAAGTATTTTTGTTATTTAAAATTATCTGCATGATTTAGGAAGTAAATCCATCAAATCATGCGATCGTTCAATCAATAATTCATCGACTGGGCCTGAATCCATACGTTCCGGATGTATGTTGCGCACCGGATAAAATGGATTCATTAACATTACTTTATTATGACGAAATGGATAATGTTGTATTAAAAAATTACCCACGAATGACTGTTACTTCTTGCGCTTGTTTATAATACGACAAATAGCTGTGACAGTTTTGAAGTTACAGAATATTTGAAATTACTTGAAAATAATATTCTTCTAGTATTTACTAAAAATTAGTCAATATATTCGTATTTTTATTACGATATTTCAACAAAAGGAGGATATGATGTAACTAATTGATTAACATTTCCCAACACTTAACATATTTATTTGTGAGGAAATATTGTTTCTCTCCAAGTTTTATTTGGTATTATCTCATGGATACCTCAGTGAATCCTTGACATTATTTGTATTTTGCATCATTGAAATTCATATTGTGCTACAAATATCCATGTACAATCATGAAAGCAGTAAAAAGTTAATAGTGATATGTTGTTGCTCTTTGAAATGTTCAAATTTTTTTAACAAATAATGAAACAGTTCTAACGAAGTGATAAAACCAATATGTGTAAATAGGCTTATTTTCATATTTCTTTTATTTCAAACCAATTGTTCGTCATTATGAAGAATATGAGTGAGGAAAGGGCTTGTGGAAATTTCACCACTTCATAAAATCAAACGCAATTCCGAGAAATTCCGAATGTCACATTTAGCGTCTTTCAGAAATACTTTGTTGAGCATCCACTGCATCAGATTTCAATGCAATACTTTTATCTTATTAATGTAATTAGTGCCATGACTCAAGCTCAATATGATTAAACCCATTTTACCTATTTGAACAGGGAGGTAGCTAAAGCATCATAATATCGAGCAAACCTTACACTACTATTTGTTTGACCGAAGGCTACTTGTTTTCTCGCTTCATTGCTATCTACTGTCGAATAGAGTGGCTCTCTCGTGGTCATTCCTTTCTCCATCTGAAAAAAACTAAAATGTCTGTGAAGCAAACATCAATCAGTTCCAAAAGTCCATAATATTCCAATCATTTAAATTATTTAGAATTTCAGTTCCTGCCAATAGAGAAGTTTAAAAGGTCGAAAATTATTATTTTGTGAAATATTTCACCATAAGTGTTTCTTGTTTCTGTTTTGAATTTGCATCCGAAACCTACAGAAAACAAGGAATCTTGAGAATAGCATCGATTGCAGTATGAAATGCAAATTCATTTATTAGTTTTAAGATTTTTGACAAACAAGTATAGTGTTTTTTAATAAATTAAATATATTCAACTTTATTTTTCCCTATTAGATGACAATTCAGTTTTTAAAAAGATTCCCATTTTTCAATCAATTACAAAAGCATTTGTCAAAATCTCATTTTGAGTTTGTTTTTAAATCAGTCGAATCCTTTGCAGTAAATATTTAAAATGGAAAATGATTATTATAAAATTTGAAAATATACAGCTTACCTATATCGTTAATCTTAGCCTCATTAACCGCTCCCCAATAAAAGCATAAACGGGTAGTATAATTGTCGTTGTTCCACTGCGTTCGCCATATTTTCAGTATTCCAGACACTTCTACATCATATCAAAGTTTAATTTAAAAATTCTTAAAATAATTCCTCTCCTTCATATTTCTTTATATATCACGCTAATTAACTCATTGCATTGTGTAAACTTTGAGACATTTAGGATTTTCATGAATAATTTGATGAATATTCCTTTTAATATTATTCCCCTTCATTTACCAATCATTTCATTATAATATTATCAGCAAGACTTACCAAAATCCATCAGTTATGCAAAAGATTGGATGGACAAAAAGAAATGATACCCAAAAAGAGAATGCATTGTTTGCAATTATTACAAACTACAAATTTCGCAGAAAACCTAAAAAATAATAAGCAAAAAGACAGGAAATTAGAATAATTGATTTTTCAAAAAAGTAGTTCAAATAGATTCTCGAAATCTTACACTCGATGGTATTTTTATTCATATTTACTGGTTTGACTGCTTTTTATTTTTTCAAAAAAATATAGAAAAAAAAAGAAAATTTCCAAATATTGAATTCTTCCCGATTCGATATAATCGTGATAGAAGGAAGGTAGGAACAGGTGATACTACTATTGTCGTGAAAAAAAAAAAACTAATTGAAAAATATAATCTTTAAGGAATTGTATTTTGGACTGATAACATGCTAAATTAGCCAATAGCTCATTTTATGATTTATTTTGTCTGTTTACTCGTTCTTCATTAATAAGGAATTTTTTTTCAGAAAAAAAAGTTTTTTTTTTTCAAATGTTATAAATGAAAAACGTAAAAACTTTGTTAGAGTTATTGGAAAAGATTATGCATTCAAGCAAATGCTAATTTATACATTGGAAATTTTTACGAGTTTTTTCGTTTTGCAAATGTTTCATTATAAAAATAATTTTGATGGGACGAAAAAATGCGAAATATGTGAAGGGATTTCAACAAGAACTGACATTACAATGGGATTGTCAAAGTATCGGTGCATGAAATTAAATTATTTTGGAAGAGGACAGAGAATTTTTTGTCAATAACGATTTCATCATGAAAAAAGAAAAAAAAACACAAAGACATCATATCTATGACTGGATATCTTTCTGATACATGAAGGTACCAAATATTTAACGGATTCATGCTTACAACATCATTCCTCATACCTTAAAGTTTTTTATTTTTATTACATAACTTGTCATCTTGTCAGCAAGCAATTTATCCTTTTTTTTTCTCTTCCTTTTTCTTTGTCATATATTTATTATTTATGAAAAATTAAATTTCCGAAATGAAAATTCAACAAATTCTTGATCAATTTCAAATTTTATGAAGTCTGTTAGAAAATAGAAGATAACAAAAGTAGAAAGGAATTTGTAAATTTAAAAACTTGAAAAATTCATACATCCATCCATCATTTCATGTGCAACTTTCCTTCAATTCATATGTCAAAAGTTAGAAATGGATAGTTTTCAAAAATGAATGATAGGTTTTATCTACTGCAATGAAAGATTTTTTTTTAAAGCAAACATATAGCAAATTTTGATATCCAAAAAAAAAATTTTGAACTGGAACAGATGAAAATGACTATATTTGTTAATATTACCAAAAAAAAGAGAGAAATCGATCAAGAGGAACATTCCACTGTGATATCATTTGCATTGATACTACCCAAGAAAAAACATTATCTATTTGAAGATGTATGAAAATAAAGTTTTTAAACCACGAATCGATATTTTCCATTAAAATGTCAAGAATGGAATTACTGAGTTGGCTAATAATTCGTTATGAACTTTGACCAGTTCCATCTTTCCTTATTCTTTCAAAGTACTTCAAATACAAAGTAAAATATTAGAACAATGCAGATTTCGAAATGAGACTGAAATGAAACTTATTTAACATAGAACATATCCGAAAACGATTCTGTACAGCTCACAAGTCGAAAATTTGTCGCATGAATGAAAGCGAGTAATTTCGATTTTGCTGGAAATAACAGGACTATTTTTTACCTTCCAAGTTTATCATTTTTAAAGCGTAGATTATAAAAAAGAACAAAAAAAAAATCGATTTTGAAGATGGATTACTTTGAATCTGAGTTGCAAAAGGTGAAAGAAAATGAGCTCAAATGAAAATGAAAATAACTGAAACAAATCTTTATACTTTTTTAAAAACTTATTTTAAACAACTAGGATATTGTATATAAAGAATGGGATGGTACCTCCTTTAAAGATGAAATCTATGCTTTTAACCAGTAAATGGTCGGATGTGGATGTATATTTCCACGCAATCTAATTTCTTCACTCGTTCTACAGATGTTCAGGATGCTTTAATTATATCCATTCAACCTTTCCATCACACAGATAGTTACAGGCAATGAAATATTGTGACTTTCATTAGTCATTGTAAAGTCGGATAGAATGCGTTGTAAAGTAATGAATAACATGGATAGAATGTGATAATAGTGATCAGGCAAAACAAAAATTTTATTTCTGCAACCACCCGTAAATGGAAGTAGCATTTAACAATTCAAAGGAAAAGAAAAAACGGTAAAGTGACAAACATTACACTGTATTAACAACAACTGCAAATTACTGACATGAAGGTTGGTAAAGGAACAGTTAATCTTTCTAGAGAAACAGATATAAAAATATTTTCCTGGTTTTTACTAAGAAATGCAGAATTAATGTTGACAATAAAATTGCAAGCATTGATTTTGCATTTTTTTTCAGCTAGCTAACTGTTTGGTAACAATATTTGGGATATGATATATCAGTAATGAAGAAGAAACACGATACAATATAAATGCAAAATAACAACTGATTATGCAATCTACATAAGGCATAAAACGTTGCTGAGCAAACTGGAAAGAAGTAATATAAAATTATCTTGCGTCGGCACAAAAAAAAGAGATAAAGTTTACTTACAATGATACCAAAAAAAGATAAAATTTCAGAAGACTGCTTCAAATGATATCATAAAAAAAATAGAGAAAGAAATAGCATTTGAACCTACTCAATATTAAAACATGGAATATCTGTAAAGAGCTATATTTAGGTAGTTCAGGTATTGTTAGAAATATTTTGAAAAAAAAAGGTAACATTTAAGTAACAATGATGTACATCAGCTTAGCTTTTTTTTTATCAAAATCAGCTAGGAATCTTGGACTTTGTTTTTATCTCTCAGATTTCCACAGAAATCTTCGATTGTTAAAGGGAGAACTTTTAAAATTTCAAAAATCCAACTCCTGACTTGCAGCAAATCAAAGCAATAACAGCTGACATTGACTCGTTTCTTTAAAATTGTATGCGCTTCAGTTCCCTTTGGAATATACACAGATTACTGCATGGCACAGTTAAGTATTCGAGGAATTTTTCGACCCCGAAAATGGAAAAAAAAAAAACAACAGTAATTGAAACTGAACGACATGAACAATTCAATTACATAACTTACCTATGATTCAGCTACATTAAATACAATTCCTCAAAGAGCAGTTAGAGAGCAATACTGACTTCAAATCGTCATCTACGCATGCTAAAATTGAGGAAATTTGTGATTGTAACCGAACACGCGAAGTTTCGGATGCTTCATCCAAATTCTGGATGCGATCGCTTAGTTTGAGGACAAGGTCAACGATTTCAACCTGTGGACGTTTATGAAGTGTTTCCTTGCTGAAATCTGCGCTACACAGCATCTAAAATGAAATGTTTATAGACTCGTACCTTAAAGCCCTACCCAGTATGTCACTTCATGGATAATCTGAGTTCTGCGTTTATCGAATATCAACCGACAAAAATCATAAAAAGCCTCAACATCACCTCCCATTCATTTTTCAATTTTCCTGTTTCTTCGCAAGGTATTCCCTCTCTGCCCTCCCTTGTTTGTATATCTTGAGAATAACTTTAAAAGTTCCCTGCATAAGCAGTAATAGAATCCAATAATTGATAATTCTTAGCAGTAAACATACTTCTAAATATAGGAGTCGCAACTGTCGTTCCAAATCAGCCCTTCTGCGAGACAACCAATCTTGAAAATTTAGTGAAGTTGTAAACTTTTGATACAATCCTGAAATGAACATTCCAATTTAACCAGCCTTAATTGTTTTCCCTGATTATTTTGTTCGAGGTTTTCCTCAATCTTTATGAGGAGCTGAGCAAATTCTAAACAGTGAAAAAAAAAGAAAAAAGATGGTAAAAAAAAGAAAACGCAAAAAAAATTACCACGCCAATCACCTCTGATACCCGATGTTTGCATAACTCTTGTCTCATCCAAGGCAGTAAAGAAGTTCTCCACTACAAACGGATAAATCTGCGGGACATTCTGCAATAAATAATATAAGAAAGTTCTCCCTTAGGCAGAGAGGAATGCATCAGCGATGGAATCATGTTTTTTTGAAATTTCCCAACTACGAATAACACAAGCTTCTTGACAAGGGAAATACGTTCTTTGAAAAAACAAAGTACTTTGAAAGGTGACAAATGCTTTTTCAGAGGCATTAATGATGAAATATAATTCTCCAAAGGCATCATGAAATTCTGCGTCAAGTCAAGTATCCGCTGTTGTAGTTCTGTTCCATCAGTGCAATTTGAATTGCTAGCCTTCAAAACATCTTTGAAAAGTGTCTTATCCTTTTGGAGAAACATTTTGTATTGACTAAATAAGCCATATTTCGTTTCGAGAGCACGTTTATTCCAGATTTTTCTGCAAAGTTTACAATGTTTAGGAAATCAGTCGAGGAATGATATCAAAAAGTGGACTGATAGAAACGTCTGATTAAATAAATAAATCCTGATAACTTTGTTTTCGAAATTCCAATCAAAGGGAAAATGAAACATTTCCTAATACAACGATAAAAAAGTAGATATACTTCCTTTTCCCTCCAACAGGGATCTGTTGCTCTTGTGAAGGAACGAGGCGAATAATATGGGGCCAATTTTGAAATACTTTTGTAAAGAACGGATTGGTTACTCCGAGAATTACATTTGGCCTATAACAAAAGAGTTTGGAACGTCAAAAAAACAAAGAAAAAAAACGAAAAAATGAGGAAATTTAACGACTTACTGGCTTTAAACTTTTTGTTAAATTTAACGACTAAATCGCGAAGACACCTTTTATTTGCTCATTATTCAACAGAAGTAAAGAAAACGACTACCATGGGTCAGTTCTTGACGAATACTCCCGGAATTCAGCATCATGGATTGTAAAGAAGGGTCGATAGTCACTGGAGCACCTGAAACCACCCATAATAAAATTTGAAAGACGTATTTGAACATAAGTCATTGAAAAAAGAAAAGGTAAACGTAACATATTTGCATATAAATACCTTAAAGGCCATATCAAAGAAATGAGAGACTGCACGAACGTAGAACAATCTGACGGATTTTGAGCTAGCACCACGATTGGCTGAAATAATTTTCTGTTCAATTATAAAGCTACACTTTCAGTTCAGTCCAGATTTCCCCAACTTATAAATTATAAGGTACAAACCGTAACTTAATGAGACATCCTTATAAGATATGTAAGGAAAATAAACAGCTACAGGAAAAAAACATATCAAAAATTACCTCTCCAGTCAATACTAATTCCCATAATAACTGCACATGATTAGCAACAAACAATAAATTTCTGAAATGAGTTCTTTTTAAACGTAATGAGGAAAAACCTAGATATGTCCAGGAACAAATACGGCCCAAATCAACATGTTTCTAACCTTCTCCCACCTAATCCATTCAAAAAACTCAATCAAATTGGTTTATCAACTTACCCACGAATATTCGATTTATTCATTATGGATAACAAAACTGGATTTTTACTGGGTGACATCAACTGAAAATTTATAGATACTTGAATCATGAATTTTCTTTTTGTTTCTCCAGAAATAAAACTTTCCTTTTGAGAAAAAAAAAACATATTTTTCGAGAAATGAACAATGTTATGAGCCCGTTATAAAGCAAAATTGGGTTTAAAAGTAGAAAACGAAGATGATTCCTGCTTTTTTGCAAATAAATCACCGCATGATGTCTGACCTCAACCCATATTTACTTAACAAACTTACTTTAGCATTTATAAGATAACTTTTTTGAGGTGAATATATATCAATCTGGCATGGAATCCGACACTGTATCACATTTCCCATCAGTGGTAGACAAAGCACGATACCAGGGATGGGAATTGACCACTGATCAATATGATGGCAGGCTAAAACAGTGGATGTGCAAATGATTATTTTGCAGAAGAGAGAACGGAACGGTAAACTGCTACACTTATCCTGCTGGTATAAATAGTCTTTGGCAACATTTAACTAAGATACATAAAACAGAATGGCTAGGAAAGAAATTCTAAGGGATACAGCAGTTATAATGAATTTATTGCATGCTTCGAAATATGTCAGCGTTAATCTATGCTTCCTGATACCACAAACGTTACCTGAATAACAAGAAGATTACAAACGAGGTATTTATCCCATAATAAAAATAAAAGCTGATCAAAAAAATACATCGGAAACTTTAGTGTTTAATAGTGTAACTCTACCCGCTTCGATCGCTGGCTCTCCAGAATCGAAAAAGCCTTGTGCAATCACACCGACAGCAAGTGAAAAGAGATCAAAAAGAGGCAACACTGTTATTAAAACAAGACTCTGCAAGTGATAACCTTATATATTCATCTAGAAATCAAATAATCGCCAAGATTAAACTACAACAAATTAAAAAACTAAAAATTTTGATATTTTGAGAAGCAAACCTTTTGGAAGTAACCACGTGGCAAAGAAGAGTCTTTTTTTGCCTGCAAATCAAACCATACATATGAAACATGCGAGTGACGAGAAAGCGAAATATCAATGAAGATGCATTCGTGAAATTTAAAAAAAGAAGAAAAAACTATAATTTTCCAATGTGCTGATCTTTTGCAAAATCTTGATATTGTCATGAACACAAAAAAAAAAAATTTCTGAGTAATAAAGACACATAGGACAAACCTGGAATGAACAAACCCATAAAAGTATTGCGGATCCGCATCAACAGCAGCCGGTACGAGTTCAGAATATGCAACATATGCAGATAAATCAGAACCAGATGATCGACGTATTCGGAAATGAAAATTGGTGTCACGTGACATGCCACAATTGGAATCCGGGAATGATAAGTAACATATACTACTTTTCTCATTAACTGTTAACTGTGCATCACCAGGATAGACTACCTGGAAAACGAAAAACGAAGAATGATTTCCTTTACATGGAATTTCCAAATTTGATTTTCAATTAAGCAAAATTTAAAAGCAGGAATCTTTGGAGCGAACTCATTCAAACCGAATACTTACTTCAATTGACCGTCTCCGTTCATGATCGAATGTCACTACAAACATGCAATACACCCAGCAATTGTCAGCATGAGACTGACTCCAAATTTAAAAATTAAGTGATAATATACAAAATTTCCCGAATTTGAAGTTAGAATTCCAAACTTCTACATTTGATCTTAAGAAGGTCGTGGAAATTAATTTGTAAAAACTAATCCGCAACTGCCTAGCTTTCTATGAATTCTATCCAACTGCTCAATTTTCGACCTATCAGTGACGTGATGCGTGGCACAGTATCTCAGAAATCTTGTAAAAAATACTTTAACTGTTTGCCATTCTGCTATTTCAGATTTGACTTTCAATTAAGTAGAGTTTCGAAGTAAGACTCTTTCGGGCAAACTAATTTAAATCGAATACTTACTTCAATTGATTGTCCCAGTTCAAGATCGAATGTCACTACACAGATGCAATACACCCAGCGACCAAACTTCTCCCATGGTGGCGTATCAAATGCTTCTATGCCATTTCTATCATTCATATCAGCTTATTAATAATCACCAACTGATAACAGGATAATTACTTCCTTTATTGCTGGCAAAATTCGGTAAGTTGATAAACCACTAAGGTTATCCTTGCACTGCCTTTCGCACACATGAAGAATAAAACTTTGCAAAATTTCAACTGAAGAATAGAATCTGAAATTAAATGAAGTATATCATGGATTATTAACCTTACAGAATGCTTCATAAAAAATGCCATTAATAACTGAGAGACAGTAGAAAATCATATGAATGAAGAAAGATTGGTAGGATTTGAAATACACTAACTGGAAATTAGAAAAGACATATGACAGAATGGGAGACAATGGGGGATTAAAAATATATACGACAGGATGAGAAATAATGATGATTAAAAAGATCTTACAGATATTAAGAAATTTTACAAATATTCACTTTTATCAGTAATTGTGAAGATTTTGCAAAATGCTTATGTTTCTGGAAAAGAACAAGAGAGTTTAATGTAATCTAGACAAGTACAGTTCTTCTAGATGACACCACTATTCCGATTTAATTACCAATTCGAAGATGGGTTGTTGCACGGGTTCGGATGCAGCTTGCAGCATTTCTACATATATTGCTGATCTAAAAATAATTGGCGTGAAGTTTCGCTTATTTACATAGTAGTATGTGATATGTTTAGCTAGTTTACTTGATCAATAAGACTAACAATTTACTGCAACAACAGAGCACATTACTGTATCTAACATTTGGTCTTTTTTGTATCGGCTTTATCACTACTTTTTACATAATTAAATTAAATATTTCATATATCTGTGTAACATATACGTCATCTCGATTAACCTATTAGTATATATCGATTAATTAAAACAGATAATTGCCTTTAGTAAATTAATCGATGAAAGGCATCGTAGCATTTCGGTTATTTCGGTGCGGCTATGATATATGTGGGATGACCTGAATTAATCCAAATAGGTCTAACCCACATCTTTTCTACTTTCGTTACTCTCCCCAATACTCTAAATAAGCCATGAATTAAAAAAAACATTGTTTAATTCATAACTTGTCAAGTTGTATTTCAGAAAGCACGGAGCTCATACATCATATCTAATGATTCATGATAGTGATAACTTCTACGTCATGTTTGATATACACTATACCTATTGCTAAATGATATTGACCGTAAACATATATGATATTTAATTCTAGAGAAATAAAGATCAAAATAAGTTATGAAACTCCTCAGGTAGACAACGATATCTTATATTAATTGAATAGAAGAGAAGAAGGGAGAAGAAAAAGGAAAACCGGTTGTGGTATACCAATTTGACGTAGTCCACTGAATGTGACACAAATGGTTGTATCAAGAAGTAACGGGAAAGAGGATGGGAAGGCGCAAATAGCGACAAGATAGAAGGTAGTGCTCTGAATTGTCTACTATGCTCCTGAAAATCGCGGGTCTTTTTGTTCACTCCACTCCATCCGATTCCTATCAGTAAACAACAACAGGGATCGGTCGTTTTTTTTCTGTGGTATACATCACATACCTAAACACACCCACTTTTGTATTTTAATTTGTTTTCATTTTCATTTATAATCGCATTTCCATTTATTTTTTGCTACGGCATTACTGTAATTTGTTATCGAACATCCTGAAATACTTCCTAGTTTCAGTACACCTCTAGGAAAGGGAGAGACGGGAAAGGAAGAAAGCATGAAGATATTACAGAGATAACGTCTTTTGAAAAATGAAGTATAAACAAATATCTCAGCACAGCTGATCGTGAATAAAGATTCCAACTATATTATACGTTATATAATCAGCTTAGTTTACTTTAAAAGAGATGTCTAATTTAATTTTTTTCATTTTTTTATTCCTAACAAAGTCATTCGGCAACGATTTGAACTAAAATGAACAAGTGCCACTGCTTTAGAATGGATTATTTATTTAAACTTCGCTAGTTTCGTCCAGAACTTTTTGGCTTCTCTTCATCGTATCGGTTTCATACTATTCTGTTGCAAAATAATGATGGTGTCTTCGGATATTTGATCATGGTATTTGAATTTTGAATGTTTGCGATGTAATCTCTTTTTTTCAAGTGCTTCTTCAAAACTGTTAGTTTTCTTTTCAGGTTTGATATTACCTAATGATTGCTGCTTAAATTTATGCATGAATTAAACCAGATCCCGCATCTGAATGGAAATGTTAAGCAAATACGTGCTCGGCTTGAACATGATCAACCATCTGATAATGCTGTCATTAAAGAACTTTCGCCATGTAATAATATCAGTAAGTAAACTTTTTATTACTTTAGGCTGCTGTTGGCTAAGATTTTAGATCCCAACTCATTGTGTAAATGCAAATCTGTGGATCCAAATAGCCATTGGTCGATACTGATTGGCCGCTAAACTGTGAACAAATATCAAGATTTAGGTTAACATTCGGGATTTTACGGGTTCATTTTGAATTTTTTTTTTTTTTGGTTCGTGGAAACTGTTTTTAAGTGATTTGTTTGTAATGAGGCTTGGATGAGCCCGTTTTTATTGGGAATGAAGTCCAGTGCATACTTTCAGTTTGTGATTGGAAATGAAGTTTTACTAAAAATCTTTTTTAGTAGAACAGCGGAAAATACTTTTCGAAGGTAACAAAATCAGGAATGAAAAAAGTGTACCAAAATGGAAACAGAAGCCGGCTGTGGCACAGAAACCACATAGATGCAAAAGCGTGAGTCATTTGAATGCCCGGATTAAATGCTAGCATAAAGTTGGCGTTGATATCGTATTTGTGATTAAAAGCAATAATTAAAGAAGCAAAAATTGGATTGCAGCTCTGTGTTTTTAATGTGATAACATAATTAAGTGATGGTTGTGATTGGGAATTAAGAAATGATTTAAATGAGTCTACATGGAATGATTTAAATTAGTCTTACATTTTTTGAGTATTATTTTCGCTTTGTTTTTTCTCCATCGTTATAAATGCAAAAGTAAAGGGATTATAATTGTGCTGAACGCATAAATCGTTTTGACTTTATTATTCATTCCTTTTTATTTAATTTTGTTTCATGATCTAGCTTTGTATTTCAGCCAACGCCTGTACTTGCCTCGTTGAATCCAGTGCATGTTTTAAATATTACTGAAGATGGTCTTTCTCCCACGAATACTACAAGGTAGTACTACTGATTTTTGTATAGTAAATATTGGATTATTTGAGACGGTAGATATCCACAGTTAGGGAGCTTCCGTTTTCGTATTTCCTAAATCTTACTGAGTCGTTAATTGCGAATTTTATTTACGGAATATCTTGTTGTCCCTTACTTTGTAATTATCACTGTTCATATCGGTCTTGGTACCTTTTATCTACTTGCCTTGGATTTACTCAATAATTATCCATTTTCATGATGACGAATTCCGCCTAATATCAGTTTTTCTTTCGCTAATTTTTCTTAGATTACTTAACGACATTCGCACAACCCCAACAAGTTCAAGCATCCCTTCAAATCCCGATATTCAAAGGCATCATACGAATGTGCGAAGCGCAGTTGCATTTTACGATGCCTTGACTGAGACTGGGCAGATGGTGTCACCGACTGCTTTTCGTAGTCCAAAAGATTCGTCGCTTGACCAACAAAGGTATTATTTCAGTTGTTGGTGTTTTTATCTTATTTTAAATTTTTAGGCAGTTTGGGAAACAGCATAGATGTTTTCGGAGCAAAATTTTAATTGGTTTGAAGAAAGGTTTGAAGATATTAATGTTCCATTATATATTTGCTGCTGTATTTGCTGTTTCTTTAAAGATCTGTAATTTTTATAGTATTGTTACATTGCAGCTCCATGAGGTCGTCCATAATTTCGGATGGTTCTTGGATAGATTGCCAGCTTAGGAGTCCTCTTTCTAGCGAAACAGATTCGTTATGTTCGGAACAAAATTTTGATTATTCTGAAGGGAAGACCGAAGACATTAATGAAAAGACGTTTGTTTCGGAAGGAAATTTCGAATCTGTAAATGAAACTTTGTTAGCTTTTTGTTACTTATGAAAAATATACAGTCCCAAATTTTTCATCAAAGCCGTGCTGGAAATGTTATAACCTACTATAGGGTTGTGTTATTTAATTTCTGCTAGTAATTAAATTTATGTTTTTTGGTTTTATGACAGTTGAATTTCTTTTATGTTACGTAGCTTTACTTCAAAAGTCTATTTCGAATATTTAACTTGACTTCGATGTGGACACTAAAACTGTGGTTTCAAGACTTCATTCAGGAGTGAACTGCATAAACGTAAACTTTGTTACCGAATAATGGACGACAAAACCGATTCTCGTTTTTGTTCCATTTAATAAGGCTGCACCAATCAAATTCCTAAAGTTTAGTTTATAAAATGGAATTATTAATAGATTCTACCTTTAGGAGAGGATCTCAAAAAGCATTAACTTTCGGGCGATATGCAGTCGCAATAGAAGAGTTGGAAAACAATGTTTTTAGGAGAACTGATGTAAGGTAATCATCGAATTGTTGGTTAAAAAGATTTTGTTTCTGTAATAATCGTCGTTTCGTACAGACCTTCTTTCACTCAGTTTGCGAAAAGGAAGACCAAGAGATCGAAAGTGTAAGCCAATGGCAAAATACCTTATTTATGGCTTCTGAAGTGTCATCTGTTTTTTATTTAATATCCTTTCTAAACGTTCTGTCGATTTTTTTTTTAGGACATCGAAAGAGGTAGTATTGCATGATTCGAATATTACCGGCAGTTCCAAGATACGGAAGACAAGGGTGATGTCAGGTAAACAGGTCGGTATTATTAGGTTTTTTTTCTTTTCTTTTTTTTTTTTGATCGTCAAGCGAATTTGAATACAAATATAATTGTATTCCATGTTGGATTCCCTTCATAATTTTTTTCCCCAAAAAAAAAAAACATTTATGTTCCAGAATCTGGAATCAAACAGCGAAATGTTGCTTCCTCACGATTTTGAAGCCACGTCGTCGAGGTACAATACGGGT